AAACACCAAAAGTTGGAAAATCTCAACATTTTTTAGGTGGAAAATTATATCAATCAAACGCAACTAATTGACAATTTTCCTTGGAATTCATTTTCTTTCCACCCATTTTCCACCCTTACAATCAAACGCACCCTAATTGAATGAGAAACCATCCAAAATCTTAGAAGAAAGCAGGAAGAAGCAATGACGTATATGAAGAGTGGTAAGCAAGATTATCCTTAATACGATATTTCACTTACAAGCATAAGAACATTTTGCGAATGCTCAATAGATTATGTATTAATCAATATTCGATTGATTATTTTAATGTTGTTGACAAATATATTTTTCTTCTCAATTCTACAAACAAGATACTTGTATCATTTGTTTTTTTTTTTAATGTGATAAAGAGTTGAATTACAATTGCAAATGAGCTAACCTCGTTAATACGCGCGAGAAGTTATGATTATTTCAAGTCGCGATGCATAGAACCAACTCCTTAGTAATATGTTATACTCGACTACCCGTACCATAATGTGTGTTTAGAGAGTTATTTTCATTTTCCTAAATTTTGGCTAATAGAAATCATGGTCTATTTGGGACAACTATTGTAAATAAAACTTTTAAGAGGAAAACTTTTACCACAAAAAGAATTATTATTAGGGCTGAACAACGAAATCGTCAAATTACAAATCGAATCAAAAGAGCTTTTTTGAAATCGTTGGCTTTGATCTACGTGGATCTGTCAACATTTTGATTTTGGATCAAACCAAACCATTTTGAAGTGGTTTAGTTTAAGTTTCAATATTTACGAACCGTTTCAAACAGTCAAACCTTTTACAAAAAAAAAAAATGTAAATAAATTCATTTCAATTTTATCCACCCAATTAAACTAAGTACATCCCAATTAAAAAGGTACATGCATATTAGACATAACCCAATTAAATTTAACACCTGAATAAACAATTATCCAGTACAATTATTTAATTAATTCATACACAAATATCCATAAAGCATCGCAACTGTGAATGCAAAACTTTCAAATTGGGTGAAGTGTTGAACAACTGATACTGAATCATATTTATCAATCAACCATTGCCATTGAGTGGACAATTAAATATAGATTTTAATTCAAATTCACATATTTCTTTTCCTTCTACTGATAATTTCTTGAATTTCGATTAAATTTTCAAGTCAATGTATCCAAAATTTCTTCTTCTTCTTTTTTAGTTGCTTGCTATATTTTATTGATAGTTGTGTTATTTTATTCTAATTTGTGCTATGCTCCCTTACATTTTTGGGGAACGACATTTTTATTTGTGTTTCAATTTTCTGATGGAGTCACTCAATTAATTATTTACATTTTAACTTAGTTTTTAGATTTTATTGTTAATTGATATGATGATTTGGTATATTACTTAAATAGCCGTTTTCAAGATTTGATCAATGAGACTTTCGATATATTACTTGAGTGGAAATTAAATGTAAATAAGTGCAAGATTTTCCCCCCGAATTGCTAAAGTTGTATTAATTATTCAAATATTCATAATTGTTTCTGAGTTTGTATTCCCAGCTAATAGTCGTATTTTTTATTCTTTTAAAATTCGTTGAGTGCAAATATAGTTGAGGTGGTGATTTGTCCTAAAAATTGGTTGCATAAACAATAAACCTATAGTGATTCGTCAATATTTAGATGAGGTAGAATCATTAGATAATTCACAAAAAGGTATAGAAGATATTATCGTATTTGATCTTTTTATTCATTTTCTTTTATTAGTTACTCTTAGCATTTTACTTTAGGCCCTGTTTGGTCCACATTA